TAACTGAACCAATTACTGCCAAATGGATCCTATCTCATGGTGGCCCCGTGGGCGTGTGTGTGTGTGTGTGTGTGAGAGAGAGAGAGAGAGAGAGACTGCCCATCTTTCTCCCTCTTTGGAACTGGCAACACAATTTCATTAGGCTACCAGAACTTTTATAAATATAAATAGAATATAATAGAGTAATAGATATATTTAAAAATTAGATAAATGGTGATACATTGTGAAGTCTTACTCCTATTCAGGTCTACATATACCCCAACTCTCCTTGCCCTGTTTTTTAAGTAGTCTTTATGGACTTTTGATCTGGGCTTGAATTTATAGTATATCTTACAATATGTAAATATGAGTCCTGCAGCCTAGTGCTTATGAGGATGAGGAAAGTAATGGCTTGATAAATATGTGGTAAGAATAAATTACATTTTGATAGACCAAAGAGAACTTTCATATGCCTCGTAGGTTTTTTTCAAGGTCCTCAGTGAGATGGATTGGTACAGGGACTGAAGCAACATAGGCTCAAGTGTGTCACAGATGGTAAATATGGCATAGGACAGGACAGGCTTCAGATCTGTTTTTCATAAAGTCACTGTGAGTGGCACATGACTTGATAGCACCTAGCAACAATAGGCTTGTATATACTGTAAATTGTTTATACTGTATGTTGTAAATTAATCACTCATGTTGACATTTATTTAGTCCTGAATAATCTGTTGAGTGCACTGGATAGTTGCTAGTTGCATCCTGTCACTGCTGACGATGGTGGCCTCTTGAATGAAACAGTGCTGAGTTCCGTGCCAGCCTCACAGTCATTGGTACAGTTGAGCCCACCATTACATTGGTTATGTCACTCCTTTACTTTCAGTCACCTTTCACGTTGCAGTAACTAATCAGTTGTTGTATCCTGTTGAGTTGATTCTGACGCATTGTGACCTTGTATGTCAGTGTAGAACTGCCTCACAGCTTTTCCCAGGCTGTAAAAACATCATGTCTGGGAAGGTGGAAGGTCAGCGTAAGAGAGGAAGACCCTTAATGCGATGGATTGACAGAGTGGCTGCAACAATGGGCTTAAGCGTGGTGGAGTTTGCGAGGACAGGACAGTATAGGACAGGCTTTCAATCCATTGTTCATAGGGTTGTTGTGAGTCACAGTTGACTCGATGGCATCTAACAACAGCAATCTTTACAGGAAGAGGTCTAAAGGTCTTTTCTCCTACAGCCACTAGTGGGTTCAAACTGCTGACCTTTTTATTAGCAGCCAAGTACTTAAGCATTGCACCATGAAGGATCCTTAGATAGACAATAACTCATTGCCACTGAACTGATTCTAGATCTTAGTGGTCAAAGAGGACAGAGCAGCAGTACCACAGGCTTTGCAGGGTTGTAATCTTTCTAGAAGCCACACCTTTCTTCTGTGGAGTGATTAGTGGATTTAAACTCCAGACCTTTCAGTAGCTGTGTGCTGAACCATGGCATCACCTGGCTTCTTACCTAGACTGTAGAGGTAAAGGAAACTGAGTAAGAAGAGGCCATTTTATGAGATGATGAATGTGTGAATAAGGTATTAGAATTTATGATATATTTTACTAAGGATTCACAGGGAAGACAGAACCATGAACAATGGCTGGAATGGACAAGAAGGGAGAGAAGTGTTGTCCTCATTCTGGTTATGATGTGTCCTGTTTGCATAGTAATGAAAAGAGAACAAGATGGCAAGGTCATATGGTTGTGTAATCCTTAAGATGGCACTATAAACCCACAGTTCCTTTGGAGAGCAATACATAACAATAATGGCAACTTGCACTTTACAAGTTTTCACTTACATAATAAATACAAAGTGGGTCTTGGGCATCAGCATTTAGTCTTTATAGCAACTGGTGAAAAAGGGTTCATATTAACCACATTATACATATAAGGGAAAAAAGACAGGGAAGGTATTGGTGACTTGCCCTCATCACATAGCTTGTAGGGGAAATGGCAGAGCAAGGGCTTGACCTGGGACCTCCTGAGTGCAATGTCCCTCTTCGCAGTGCTGCATTCCTCCTTTCCGGTTAGCTGTGAAGGAGTTCTGGTGGCGCAGGGCACTGCAGGTCATGCTGCTAACCAAAGGGCTGACCTTCCCAGACAGCATGAGTCCACCAGCTCCTCTGTGGGACAAAGATGGCCAAGCTCCTCACATGTGATTTATAGCCTAGGAAACTCAATGGAGGGTCAGCTGTGAGTGGAAACTGACACAACTGTGATGAGTTTGAGTTTTGACTAAGCCATATGCTGAAAATGCATCAGCATTAGAATTATCAATCATGAAAGCTCTTTCCACCAATCCCAGTTCTGCTTAAATTGCACAGGAAACCATGTCTAGTGCATAGGAAGGAGTGGCCAAAGAGCTCAGGTAATAGATCTCCTGAGGTAATAGGAGATGGCAGGGACTCTGGAGCACCACCTTCGTCAGTGTCACCAGTTTCCAGTTTCAGTGCTGGCTCTCACCTCACTGGAGCCTGGAGACTGAAGGCTGCCCAGCCCTCTCAGCCTGGATACCACTCCTTGGGCCCTATCCATTGCACCCTAGGCATATGATCTCATCACACGTAACTGAACCAATTACTGCCAAATGGATCCTATCTCATGGTGGCCCCGTGGGCGTGTGTGTGTGTGTGTGTGTGAGAGAGAGAGAGAGAGAGAGAGAAATGTCTCCATAAGGTTTTCTGTGCTCCATAAGATCTTCCATGACTGATTTTCTATCACTAGATCTTTCTTCCAAAGTGCCTCGGGGTGGCCTTGAACCTCCTGTCTACTGGGTGGCAGCTGAAGGCCTAACTCTTTTGTACCATCTAGAGTCTCCAGTTGTGTAACTTTTGTTTTCTGATGAGTATGACATTCAGAGAGGCAAAATGCTCTGTACAGATTAATTTATGAGTTTTTGACACTCAGTTTAGTAAGGAAAAAATATCCCTTCAAAATCTGTAAAAAGAAAACGTTTCAATTAGTTGTAAAAGCAGCTTACAGGTTACAGAGGCCTGATTTTTTTTTTTTTAATTATTTTGTGTGCGTGTACCGTCAAATCAGATCTGACTGGTACAGGAGGATATTGCGCCTCCTTCTCCGGCAGAGCGTCTGGTGGATTCGAACCATGTTCCTCTGGGATTGCAGTGCAGTTTCTTGCCACTAGGCCACCAGAGCTCCCCAGAGGCCTGATTCTTAAGGGCCCCCACTTAACATTATAGAAGCTAAAGTAATTCCTTCACTACTGGAGTCTCAGTTTCCTTATTTATAAAAGAATAATAATCATTCCATCTGGATGAATGTTGTTAGAATCACATCCATGCATTATTTCATTCATTCATTCATTATTTGTTGAGCATCTATTGGACATGCTTCTGGATGCTTATAATAAAAAGTAAACAAACTAGACAAGAATCCTTGCCCTTAAGGAATTTATATTTCAATGATTATTTATATGAAATAAATACTTTTAAAATAAATTATTTGCTTATTGCTTTACACACAGTGTTCAGGTCACTAATGAAAGACTTACTCAACTTATTACCTTCAAGTCAGAATTGATTCACAAGTGACCTTCCGGTGGGTTTCCAAGGTTGTAAACTGCATGGGAAGAGATGGCCCATCTTTATCTCAGGAAAGTGCCCAGTGATTTCAAACCATGAGAGAGGGCCAGCCTTTGGATTTACAGTAAATTCTCTATAGTTTATGGGTTATGTTACCAGAGGTCCCTATAAAAAGGCTTAAGGAGCATTTAATTGTGATCAAGTAGAGGCCCACAGTATTGCACAACTGTATATTAGAGCTTACACTTCCATGGTAAAGATGTTCTCATAAAGAAGAAAAAAGAAAAAGAATGTAAAAATTAGTTGATTGCTAGGGAGAAAGATTTCAAATTTCTCTTTATTAGGCATTTTTTATGATTTCATAAGAGCTGTTCTCTTTCACAAAAATGTACATACATATTTCTAAACATGTAAATAGAAAGCTGTCATTTAGATTGCTTCTTGAATTCATATTTCTCTAAACCTTGCCAAAACATTTATTATAAAAATCAGCAAAATTGTTTAACACGTTCATAAAAATCATTGGATGTGCGTGCATAAGACATTTTCAAGCTTGTCTTACAAAAAGAGTGCAATATCTACCCATGTGCTCATAGTGATTCTCAAAGTGGTTCGAAGGCAAAAAAGGAAAGCAGCATTTCCATGTCATGCAGCATTACTTAATACTGACTTTTTTTCTGGAATATTCAAGAAGAAAGATCCTTTGTTAGCACATAAGGTAAAATATTAAACATTAATATTCTCTTTCTATGGACAACCATCAAAATGAAGCCTTTATTTTCTCAAGCCAACTTGTTGCCATGATAAACTGCATTCAATCTGCAGCTATTACCAACACTTGACATTATCTACTTTAAAATTATTTATGACACTTGAAATTCACAAGAAACCCACAAGAGCTATTCCCTTCTCAATACATTCACTGAATGCAGACTTAAGTAAGCACCTGTCATCTTGATCGTGCCTTTTATTTGTGTACTTTAAAATGACTATAGTTTAATTTTTTAACATGGTACCAACATGAAAATGAATGATCTGCAAAACCAGCAGCCTGTACTTCTAGTAACAGTTGTCATACAAAAAAAAAAAAGCCCTGAGTCAGTATTTTTTGCAAGAGTAATGAAGAAGAATACTCCCCAGTCATTTTATAACATATCAAATCTTAAGGCTGTCCAGTATTCATTTGTTTTGTTTCCATCTTGATTGAAGGGAAATACAGCTTTTGTTACTTTGTTAATCCAATTCAGCTAATTTCTTAATACTCAATTTCATTTAAGTCTTCAGAATATCCAGAGGATTGTTGAGATGTGTCTTCCATTTCTGTTCAGAAGAACAAATAGATAAGAATAGCTTTATCTCTTTTTACTATAGGGGAGAAAGTGACATAATTTGTGTTTTCCCAATTGAGACTATTTTGCAAAATTCCTTTTTTATCAAATCTGTGTAATTAGGAATAATATCATCACCTGCACAGGGTCCTGCCTGAAATTTAATATCGTCAATGGCAGTATCACTTCTTATTGATATTCCACGGACAGCTTCAAAAATGATCTGAAAAGTAATGAAGTTTAAATTAGCAATACAGTCATTCTGATAAAATAATGCCAGTTAGGAGTACAGCCAAGAAGGGTGATGTTCTTTAAGTCAGGAAAAGAAGACAAAATTACTAGTTCAAATTCAGATAAATGAGTTACTATTAATTTAGAGAGTAAAAAGAAATTTACAACAAACTATTGGAACTTTGGAAAAATCCCTTTTTGCTGAGATCTCATTGGGCTGTTTTTCAGAAATTCTTGCCTTGAAATGCTTGCTTTCTGGACATGATTGACTCTTCTGACATAAAACACTCTGTTCCCAGCATCCCCAGTTCCTGTGACTGTGAGGGATCCAGAAGCTTAAGTGTCTTTTAAAAAAACACCACCACCCAGTTGAAGTAGAGTCAGATCTGACCCACAGTGCACCACATGTATCAGAGCCAGGCTCTACAATGTTTTCAATGGCTAACTTATTTTGCCAAGCCTTTCTTCTGAGGGGCATCTGGATGGACTGGAAACCAATAACCCTTTGGTTAACAGTGAACACTTAACTATTTGCATCTTCAAAAGGACTCTAGGTTTCTATCTGACTCATTGCCATCAAATCAGAGTCAACTCACAGTTGATCCTTCAGCGGGTTTTCAGAGGCTGTAAATCACACAGGAGGATGCTAGGTGGAGGAATTGAATCTGATTGTAGATATTCATACATGAATGTTGTTGTTGTTATGTGCCATTAAATTGCTTGTGACTCATAGTAACCTTATGTACAATAACTCTGAACCCTGCTCTTTCTTGAGCTAATTTCATTGTCTCTAAAAACCTACCTCCATTACCCTAGTCACTGAGTCAATCCATCTCACTCAGGGTCTTCCTCTCTTGTGCTGTCCCTCCACCCTTCCAAGCCTAATATTATTCTCCAAGGACTGGTCCCTCATGGCAACATGCCATGGATAAATGAATTGGTTAAATCTATCAAACAGACAATTGTTCACTCATTATGTTAAATAGGAAAAATGAAAGACAAAAGCCAGGGAGAAGATGGAAGCAGTGTTGTCTTGAGATTCTGAGACTGTTCAGCTTTGAGTACAGATAGGATACTCTGCTAGTTATCAGGCCTAACTAACAACAGTTAGTGAGCCAATGAATACTTTAGGGAAGTCTGTGAATAATGGAAACTGTCCAGAAGATTCAGTTGCTCAACCATTTAATGAGAAAATGACTCCCTACTGAAATAGCTGATGAAATAGAATCAGATCAAAGAATACAAATGGGACAATTAATATACATATGAAACAATCTTGAGGAAATTTTGGTGGCAGGTATGTGGTAAATAACTTTAACAAAAATCCTAAGGAAGTAGTCCTACACAAAAATCTAAATAAATGCGAAAAAGAAGAGGAAATGTCCTGGCATTGTTAGCTGGAAGGACAGATGACTGAAGCTAAGCATTTTTGCATTCTGGACAGTCATAAGATGCAGTTTTTGGACTTCCAAGTTTGCAATAGAAAGTCTAATAGACAAGTGACTTGATGGAATTAGGTTTATTCTGAATCCTCTGTGGGAGAGCCAAGGACTTGATTCTGCACTACCATCTCCTCTGAGGTTCTTTCATACTTTGCTGACAACCCTTTTATGGCACGATAACTTCCTTCTTGTATTCTATTTAGTCAGAACTCTCTTCTTACTATATCAGCTCTATGAATCATCTGTCTTATTCTTCAGTCTGTACATTTGGATGGACCAAATGTGTAGTAGTGGCCAAATGCACACTTGATAATTTGGCTGGAATGAATACAATAGACTCACGCCCATCAAACTCATTATCTAGGACAGAGGGTTTCTAGGAAGAATTCTATCGGACAGTCCCACAGGGTTTCCACAGCTGTAGATCTAGATGAAAGCACCCTGCCACATTTTCCTCCTGCAGAGTGACTGCAGGAGAAAGATGTGACAGCTCAAACCAGTAAGCTATGAGTTGGAAGCCCAGGCCTTAACCATTGCACTACCAGTTCTCCTTAAATACAGTAAATATAGATTACATGTCCTTTGTTCCAAAACTCTGTCTTGAGGTAATTTTAAGTAGTGAGTGAACCTATGTGGGTGCAATGATAGAACAGTTTAAAATTGCAAGGAACACACAGCAATTAGGGGTGGTTTACTTAATGAGCAAGGTAAGCATAGCTTACTTGTATTTATTACTAATAAGTAGTGAACAGTTTCACAACTGTGCTTGCCTTGTCTACTCTGTCCCTGTCACAGTTTGTAAACTTGAAAAGAAACTTTGATTTTGCAGGAAGTTGCATTGGAATTGGAAGAGAGACAGATGCTAGCTATACCTAGAAGGAGAACCTTGGATGTGATGAGAAAAAAAAAAAAGTAATCATTCACTGTAGATAAGCACAGATGAATATGTGTTTACCTTGTATTGTGTAATCTGGCACTGACAACAATACTCAATATCTGGTATATATACTGTGTGAACTATTAGCTCAAGTTCAATCACCCTTTCAACACTAGCGTCCTCTACATTCCTTTTGATCAGATCATATTTTATGGAGCATTTTGGGATTTAGTTGCTGTGATAAAGCAAGTACACTTGACAACTGACGTGAAATATGAAATGAACATGTACTATTGAGTCTGATTCCAAGGTTTGAGAGTTGCATAGTGTCTAGCAGGTATATGTGTGTACACACACACACACACACACACACACACAGAGTTGTTGTTGTTGTTATGTGCTGTTGAATCTCCTGTGATTTATAATGAACCTATGTACAATATCTCTAAACCCTGTCCTATCCTGTGCCAATCTCAGTGCTTCCAACACACCTGCCCCTATTGCCCCAGTCATTGTGTCAATTCTTCTCATTAAGGGTCTTCCTCTCCTGCATTGTCCCTCCACCTTTCCAAGCATCATATCCTTCTCCAAAGTCTGGTCTCTCCTAGCAACATTCTCAAAGTATGTGAGATAGAGCTTCAAAATCCTTGCCTCCAAGGAGAAACTTAGTTTTATCTTCTCAAGGATACACCAGTTTGTTCTCTTGGATATCCATGGTATGGTCGATACTCTTCTCCAGCACCACAGATCAAAGACAATAATTCTTCTTCTGTCATTCTTATTTATTGTCCAGCTCTCTAATGCATGGCAAGTAATTGCAAAGACCATGGACTGGGTCAGACATACTTTAGTCTCTAGACTGACATCTTTGACTTGAGCACTCTGGAGAGGTCCTTGACAGCAGACTTTCTTAATCCAATTTGTCTTTTGATTTCTTGGCTGCTGGTGTCACGAGTGCTAATTGTGTGGAGTCAAGCAAGCTGAAATTGTTGACAATCTCAATCTCTTCTCCATATGTCATGCTGCTGCCATTTGGGCCAGTGGTAAGGATCTTTGTTTTCTTGATGTTGAGCTTTAATCCATATTGAAGAATGCAGTACTTGACTTTCTACAGCAGATGCTTCATGTCTTCCTCAGTTTCAGTGAGCAAAGTTTTATCCTCTGCATAACAAAGGTTGTTGATGAGTCTTCCTCAAATTCTGATGCCACATTCCTCCTTATTATGGACAGCCTCCTGAATGATTTGGTCAGTATATAGGCTGAAGAGGTATGGAGACAGGACACATTCCTTACTCACTCCTTTCCTGATTTTGAACCATACAGTATTTTCTTGCTCTGGTCTGACAACTGCCTCCTGGCCCAAGTATACGTTTTGTATGAGCACAATCAGGTATTCTTGGATTCCAATTCCTATTCTTCTCAAGGTTGGCCATAATTTGTTATGATCCACACAGTCAAATACCTTTGCATAGTCAATGAAACACAGATTGACATTCTTCTGGTACTCTCTGCTTTCAGCCAGGACCCATCTAACTTTGCATACAGCCTCTTCTAAACCCAGTCTGTACTTCTGGTTGTTCTCTGTTGATAAATATATTCTCTAAGAAAATTATTGTAGTTACTTAAGAATGAAATATTTGGCTGACACTGCCCACTCAAGCCAGGAGACACTGCTACTGATTCCACACCCAAGGAGACACCATGCCCTGGGAGCTAATGACACCATGCCATGAGCAACTCGTGCCAGGAGTGACACATCCTGAAAGTGATGCTGGAATCTGAGTGAGGTACCTTGTGTGTGTGTGTCACTGCTGTTTGGCAGGGTCACCTGGGACCCCTTAAGCTCAGTCAGAAGGGAGCTGACAGATAGAGCTCGTCCTCAAAGGGAAAACCTGGTTTTCCAATCAGGTCTCTGCACTCTGCCTTGCGTCTCTTCACATCCATTCTACTAACTGCATGTAGCCCAGAACACCTTGGGCTGGCCCAGCTGCTGCAGTTGTCTGACAGAAGAGACTGCTTTCACAGGCCTTTTTTCTACCAAACTGAAGCAAACCCTCCCTTGGGTCAGAAGGCAGAGAGAAACCCAGGCAGGGTAGCTGCCAACCTGCTTCTGGAGCAGTGACTTCAGATCAAGAACCTGCTATCATCTCAGGCATGAAAAACTCTACCATAGCTATGTCATATAGGAAGCATGCTATCTCACCTGCCACACAAGTCCAAAGCAAGATGTCACCACCAAAAACTGACACAGTATCAATGGATTTCCTGAAGCCAGAGAGTCTGATGAAATTTTCTGACACAGAATTTAACAGAACAATGATTGAATATTTTCAATGGGTGAAAGATAAACTTGAAAAATTACAGGACACTGCAAGGAAAAACCAGGAGGAACTTAAAAAGACAATCCAAAACAATGCAGATAAAACAAATGAGGTATTAGAGGCTCTAGAAAAATAGGAAATCACAATCCAAAATATGAGGTCCAATGTTTCAGATGCTGTCAAATGATGGAAAGATAGATGAACAGAGTTTAAGAGATGGAACACAGAACCAGTGAAATAGAAGATAGAATGTTCACCACTGATCTGCTAGAACAAAAAAGCAGAATCAAAAAGGAAGGAAAAAGAAGAAAATCTAGGAATAATATGGGGCACCATCAAGAAAAATAACACGCACATCATCAGAACCCCAGAACAGAAAGAAGCATGTAAAGGTACCAAAAAGTTGTGGAAGAATTACTAGAAGAAAACTTCCTAGGCATAAGGAAGAATGAGAAAATATATATTCAAGAAGCTGAGTAAACACCATATAGAATAGACCCCAAAAGAAAATACCAAGGCGTATCATAGTCAAATTTGCCAAAGCCAAAGATAAGGAGAGGATTCTGAAGGCAATGAGGGAAAAACAAAGAATAACCTATAAGGGAGAGCAAATAAGATTAAATGCCAATTTCTCAGCAGAAACTATGTGAGCAAGAAAACAGTGGAATGGCATATATCGAACACTTAAAGAACATAACTGTCAACCAGGAATACTGTACCTAGAAAAACTGTCTATCAAATATGAAGGAGAGATCAAGATATTCCCAGAAAATCAGAACCCAAGGGAGTTTGTAAAAACAAGACCAGCATGGCAGGAAACACTGAGAGATGTCCTTCTTACAGGGGTGTCACAGGAAGTAGGATGGACCAAAGCAACTAGCAATGACACCAAAAAGAACTCAACAAAATGACAGAAATAAAACCTTGCCTCTCAATAATCACAGTGAATGTGAATGATTTAAGTGCACCACTGAAGAGAAAAACTGTAGCAGATTGGGTAGAAAAAAAAAATCAATGTAATTCACCACATTAACAAAGCAAAGAACAAGAACCACATGATTCTATCAATTGATGCAGAAAAGGCCTTTGACAAAATCCAACACCCTTTCCTGATTAAAACATTCAACAAAATAGGATTAGAGGGGAATTTCTTCAACATAGTAAAAAGTATACAAACAAACCTGAGAGCCAACATTGTTCTCTATAAACTTTCATTAAAATCTCAATAAAAAAAAGAATGATATATTTCCCCTTCAATTTAAGAAAATTCTTTTTTAAATGGTTATGAAGTTGTTAGGACATAATACTAATTGTTTGGACATGGATACTTAATAGATAGAACTGGTAGGTAATTCTTTTGTTGTTGTTATGTGCTGTCAAGTAGGAACTGACTCATCGTTAACCCTCCAGCAAGTTTTCAGAGGCAGTTAATTGCATTGAAGGAGACTGCCTATCCTTCTCCCACAGAGCATCTGGGGGGTTTGAATTATGTGCCTTTGCATTGCTGTGCAGTATCTCATTACTGGGCCACCAGAGTGCACCTCCCCCAAAATATTGGAAATATTGGGATTGAGAGCTCCATAACAAAAAAATGCCCGAAGAGGTGGGTTGTAAAGGTTTTAGGTGAAAACACATAGTATTCATCAGCGTTATTAACAATACGAATGATGTAAACATTTCAGTGAGAGCTGAGAATTTATCTAGCACTTGATTTTCATTGCATTACTGAACCAGATGAAAAAAGGATGCGGTAGAAGCAGGGCTTTTCATACCAGGTCACATCTGAGAATTCTATTGGGCAATTTCAGGAACGGTCAGGAGTCTAAGCTTCATCTCTTCCCTAGAGCTGCCTGGAGTTGGCCTCATAGTTGACGTGGGAAGTCCGTGGTTATCCAATGATAGCGGATGCTTTGTAAATTGCTCGGTTTCCACTTACTGGAATTGTAAAGGCTCATCCCTGTGGTGAGTCAGTCTCCTCACGATCAGGATCCTCTTGGATGATATCTTCAGCAGGAAGCCCCAGGAGGAGATACAGAAAAGTGTGACCCAACCTCCCCCAGGAGTTCCACAGCAGTGTAGTGATGGGGAAGTAAGCTTTTAAAACTTACCTTGGACCAGATTGGTTGTGGAGTTGACTTCAATGCATGGTAACCCTGTGTATGTTAGAGCAGAACTGTGTTCCTTAGGGCCTGATTCTGGGAAGGCAGCTCTGGGTAAACTTGAACCTCCAACCACTCAGCAATCACTCAAAGACTTCCTCTGGACAGTAAACACTTAATCAATGGCTTAAAGCCAAGATTCTTATAGGCACACAGATGCTGTTGAGTGGAAGAGGCAGCAGTGCTAAGGGGCTACACAAAACCATGCTTAGAATAAATGGAGATTCTTTGTGGAAATTTACAGGACAAGTGGAAGTCTATTTGCCACAGTGTACCAAGATAAAAATAGTTTCATCATGGAGTCATTAAAAATCATGTTATGCTTAAGTACCCAAAGTGTTCCTCCTTTGCCCATCTAATTTCCTAGTCACTGCTCAGACTGAGTCAATATATAGAGAGGCGATGTTTACTCTTAAACAAACTTGGCTTTCATCTATGACCCTGAAAAAGAACAAAACATTCTCTTTGGTAGCAAAATAGAGAGAGAGCATCAAAAGGTTTGTCAAGCAGTCCCTCACTAGATCATTATCACTCTTGGCTTACCTGGTGTTGCCTCTCACAGCTGTACTCAATCTGTGCCTGGAGCCAGGAAATGCTCTGTTCCCCTTTTCTTCTCCACAAGAGCAACTCTTCACTTTTGTCTTCCCTTTTCAAATAAACGCTCAGCAGGCCAGTCCCTGCTCCGTACATGTGGTAGAAAAAGGTCAAGCAGTGTTTTCCGGGAACTCCCCGCAGCGGCCTGGACAGGAGGCGGGCCTGCTGTCCATACACCATGTTGGAGGCCTCAATGTACATGTAGTAGCCTTGAGGGGAACACAAAAGCAGGCATTGTTTCAAAAGGACTTAAACTATATCCTCTTCTCCCATAGTATTCCTAGGAACAAATGAGGGCAAGCAGATGACTAGCATGCTGATGAAAGGAGTCCTGGTGGCCAGGTCAGCGGGGAGCTGCACTGCTGACCCAAAGGCTGAGCCTCTCTGGCAGTTCCAACCCAGTGGCTTCAAGGGAGGAGGATGGGCAGTCTCCTCTGCTGTGATTCTGTCACACTGGAGGGTCAGGTAAGGGTCAGTTCTAGCTTGACAGCAGGGAGGTGAGGTATTGATAAAGGATTTTATCATGTTAAAGAATTGTATATAATCCAAGGGAAATAAATATGCTGTAAAGTGAGATCAGCAAGGTGATTTAAAGAAATTTAATATAAAAGACATAAACAATATAGTGGGGTTATAGCACTTGTATGACGTCTTATATATAAAAATCTTTTCTGGTTTATAGGTAGTACCTTTCAGACACTGGTCTAGAGGAAAGGGGCCTATAATATGTGACAATAATATATGGCTGTACACACCTGGGGCCCATTTTTTAAAAGTCTGTGAACTCCACATCAGTGGTTCTTAACCTTCAATAGATTAGTGACAAAATGTGGATCTCTTCTGGTACACATAAATATTTGCATTCACTTTCGCTGTTAGTGGACTTTGTGGTAAATATGGTTAAAATCTTGGTATTAATATTCGCTATCTGTGCGATCCTGGTCTAACTAATTATTGCCTCCTAAGTTACAGTCATTTTAAAATTAGGGTTAGCAATTTCTGTTCTTGCAAGCCAAAAAGCAAGCCCACTGCTGCAGAATAAATGCCAATTCATGACAATAATCTTTAAGACTGTCCATCTTTTTCCCCCCAGAACTAACTGGTGGATTTGAACCACTGATCTTCCAATTAATAGTTCAATAAGTAACATGCTACAAAATCAGGGCTCCTTTTCTGTTCTGTAGTGCTTGAATATCAAGTAACACATGTGGAGTACCTGTGTGTCACACAGTTCAGATTATTGTTCCTTGTCCTGTCCTTTTTCCTGAATTTGTGTTCTTAATTCATTCTTCAATATGTGTTTATATGATATTCTTAAATGGATTTTCCACTTTTTTTAAAAAAATAAATACAGATGTAGCTGTTTTCCTTCCTTTTATAACGTGTGAGTTTCCAGCAGGAGTAGAATCAGTCTGCACATAAAGACTGGTGAGCACTGAAGCCAGCTGTCACATTTCCAAACGTTAGCTGTGTGTGACTTTTTCCAACTTCAAGCGACTTTATATTTGAAAGAGCTTGAAATAGGCAAAGTTGAAATTATTTAAAGCCAGGAACTTGTTATTCTACAAAGCAAGGTTTCCTCTTTCTCTGGAACGTCATTCATTGTTAAACAATTACATCACTGAAATAATAGCCTATGTGAAAAGCAAGATAAGAACTTTTGCTAGAGTGAAGAGTCAGTAATATGTGCCAGGAGAATTGGCTGGTGTAGAAGAATTTCAAGGAACAACATGACCAAGAAGCAATAATGATGAAGGAGAAAGTTCAAGTTGCTCTGATGGAATTGGTAAAAAATAAGGTCCCAGAGATTAATGGAATACCAATTGACATATCTGAACAAACAAATGCTGTCCTGGATGTACTCACCACGTTGTGCCAAGAACTCTGGAAGACAACTAACTACCTGGCCAATTGACTGGAAGAGATCCATATTAACTAGAATTTTTTTTTAAAAAGTGACCTGACAGTATAGAAATTAATGAACAATATAACTAATATCACACAAAAGCAAAATCATGCTGAAGACTATTTTAAAAATGATTGGAACAGTATTACATCAACAGAGAATTACCAGAAACATAAATTGGGTTTAGAAGAGGTCATGGCACTAGAGACATTATTGACAATGCCAGATGGATCTTAGTAGAAAGCAAAGAGTAACAGAGGAAGAATGTCAGGATTGGAGGAAGCTCAATAATCTTCCTTATGCAGATGACACAACACTGCTGAAACAGAAGAGGACCTGAAGCGCTTGCTACAGAAGGTCAAAGACTGCAGCCTTCAATATAGATTGAAGCTCAACAACAAGAAAACAAAGACTCTCACCATTGGGCAGATTGGCAGCATCGTAATAGGTGGTAAAGAGATTGAGTTTGTTAACAACTTAGTTTGTTTGGCTCCACAGTGAATACGCTTGGTACCAGCAGCCAGGAAATTAAAAAATGAATTCCACTGGAAAAGTCGGCTGTTGAGACCTCTTCAAAGAACTGAGAAGCAATGATGTCAGTCTGGAGACTCAGGAGTGCCTGATCCAGGCCATAGTATTTGCAATTACTTGCTATGTATCAGAGAGCTGGACAACAATTAGGGACAATGGGAGAATTGACGCCTTTGAGCTGTGGTGCTGGAGAATAGTATTGAATATACCATGGACTGCTAGGAGAACAAACAGGCTCGTCCTGGAGAGGGAGAGACCAGGTTGCTCCTTGGAGGCAATGATTCTGAAGCTCTGTCTGACATACTTTGGACATGTTGCAAGGAGTGACCAGTCGTTGGAGAGGACTGTCATGATTGGAAGGGTGGAGAGACAGTGCAATAGAAGAAGACCCTCGATAAGTGGATTGATTCAGTGACTGGGGTAATGGGGGTAGGTGTGTCAGAGAAAGTGAGATTGGCACAAAGCAAAGCAGGGTTTAGAGATGTTGTATACAGGGTCACTATGAGTCACAGGCAACTTGACGGCACATAACAACCACCACCACCACCATCAGAGCAATGTCTATCTGTGTTTCATTGACTATGCAAAGGCATTTAACTTTGTAGATCACAACAAATTGTGGCTAACCTTGAGAAGAATGGGAATCCCAGAAACACTTGATTGTGCTCATGTGAAAATCTATACTCAGACCAGGAAAACGACCTCAGAAGAGCAAGGAAATACTGCTGTTGGTTGTTGTTATGTACCATCGAACTGCTTGCAACTCATAGTGACCCTATACACAACATCTCTGAACCATGCTCTATCCTGAACCATCCTTATTTTCTCTGACACTCCTACCTCCTTTATTCTAGTCACTGAATCAATTCATCTCATTGAGGGACTTCCTCTCCTGTGTTGTGTCTCTACCCTCCTAAGCATGATACCCCTCTCCGAGGATTGGTCCCTTCTTGCAACATGTCCAAAGTATGTCAGACAGAGCTTCTGAATCCTTGCTCCCAAGGAGCAGCCTGTTTTCACCTTCCCCAGGATGAACCTGTTTGTAATCTTAGCAGTCCATGGTATATTCAACACACTTCTCCAGCACCATGGCTCAAAGCCATCAATTCTCTTTCTATCATCCCTAGTCATTGTCCAGCTTTCTGATACTTAGTACATAATTGCAAAGACCATGGCTGGGATTAGGCACACCTTACTCTCTAGACTGATAGCGTTGCTCTTCAGTACTCTGGAGAAGTCCCTAACAGAAGACTTTCCCAATGCAATTAACTTTTTAATTTCTTGGATTCTGGTACCAAGAGTGTTGATTGTGGAGCCAAGCAAACGGAAGCTGTTAACAATCTCAATCTCTTCACCATCTATAATAATGCTACCAATTGGCCAAGTGGTGATAAGGTTACAGTCCTTGACCTTCTGCAGCAAGCACTTCAGTTCCTTCTCAGCTTCAGCAAACTAGTTGGTTCAAAATAAGGAAAAGAGTGCATCAGGGATGCATCCTGTCTCCATACCTTTTCAATCTATATGCAGAATAGATAATTTTGGAGGGTGGGCATTATGCGGAGAAATATGGCATCAGGAAGACTCATCAATAATCTATGTTATGCAGATGACACAATCTTGCTTGCTGAAACTGAGGAGGACTTGAAGCGCTTGCTACAAAAGGCCAAGGCCTGTAATCTTCAATAAGGTTTGAAGCTCAACATCAAGAAATAAAAAGATGAATTGCACTGGGAAAATCTGTTGTCAGGGACGTCTCTAGAGTACTGAGAAACAATGATGTCAGTCTAGAGACTAAGGTACAAGTGATCTAGGCCATGGTCTTCACAGTTACTTACTAAGCATCAAAGAGCCGGACAATGAATAAGGATTCCAGAAGAAGTAGAAGAAGAATTGAAGCCTTCGAGTTGTGATGCTGGAAGAGTCTTGAACATACTATGGACCACCAAGAAAACAAACAGGTTTGTCTTGGAGAGGGTAAAACCAAGCTTCTCTTTGGAAGCAAAGATTTTTGAAGCTCCATCTCGCATACTTTAGGCACATGGCCAGGATGGACAGGTCTCTGGAAAAAGATACCATGCTCAGAAAGGTGGGGGAACCACGTAGGTGAGTAATAACCCTGATGAGATGAATTGACACTGTAACTGGTGTAATGTAGGCAAGTGTGTCTGAGTCAGCGAGACTGGTTCAGGAAAGGGCATAGAGTCTCTATGAGTAATAGGCGACTCGGCACATAACAACAATAACAACAGCATAATGCTGTATACCCAAGGCCCACTTAAAAAAAATTTCTCTGGACTCTACATCAGTGGTTCTTAAGCTTTAATAGCTTGATGAAAAATGTGGACCTCTTCTACTACATATATATCTTTGCATTTCACTTTTATTATTTTGTTTTGCAACACTTCTTTTTTAAATATGTTTTTATTGTTGTTAAATGCCATCAAGTCGCAGGCGACTCATAGCGACCCTATGAAGGAGAGTCCTCGACGCTTGGGTGCCTTTCATCCTCCCTCCAGGTTCATAGGGTATCTGGAGGCAAGCTATTATGGAAGTGGATGCCACTCCTCGTTCCAATTTTTAAATGTAGATGATAAAATATGATGTTTCCAGAGTGTATGTTTCATCCTCATTATTTCATATAGAACTACCGGTCAATTTGAGATGGAATAAAGAAATTCCTACTAGGACAGATAGCGGAAATGGCTTCTAATAATGGTGTCATGCTCATAGTGTCACTCATGCCCTCCCCCATGAGCATCCTGCTGTGCAGAC